ATCTTATTTACAGATTCATACACAAATCTAACCTTAAACCCCCCCCCCCCCCTCCCCCTTCCAAATAATCACCCAACTTAAGAATTTTCATATGAGAAAAAATGCACATTGAGCAAGATTTAAAACTTTTGAAGTTCTGGTATGTATTTCGTATGTACAACTTCATACGTTATTCAATTATATAGAATCTTGGAAAATAGAAAACTATTTTTCGAGACTAAACGATATTAGAAGGTGCTGTCCTTTGCAGAATACAGCACAAGTTCTTGACAGTGTTTAGATTTCATTGAAAACCCAACTTAAATACCATTAACCAATAAAAATCATATCATTGTAACCATTATATTCTGACGTTTTATGCTCTGAGGAGTGTCAGACGAAAAAGCTTTTAGTTTGTTGTAAAATGTTTGCTATTTTCAAAGCCATTTGCAAATTCTGTACCGCAAAAAAATTTTCATAACCATTATACCATACCAATAAAAGCTGTAGATTATTGGGGACACGACCCACTTACAATACCATTTACTCATTGATAAAATGTAACACGAAACCACTACAGGACTACAGGATTAAAAGTTGAGCTTGTAGTGGCACACTTCATTTATACCACAGTCTAAAAACGTCGTCTGTTCATCAACATGCACCTAGAAGAATCAAATTCCTGCTTCTATTCATAATAAGAATTTCACTACCAATGCATTCACGAAGGATATAGCAGTTACATATTTCTACGGCGGCTGGTCGGGCACACGTCATCGTGACTCATGCATTCGTCCAAGGTGAATCGAAGAAGTATGCTGGTGGGCAACTTCATGTAAACAATCAATCGAGGCATACAACATATAAGCTTGAACAGAATAGCTTCTAGGTAGTACTATTGGCCATTATCAAGATACGCTTTCACGGGTATTGGAGAATTCGGTTCAAGTCCAAGCATGTTGTGTACCTCGAACTCCGAAACAAGGGGCAAGCAATTTCGTGAAAAGAACAAATTACCATATAACATAAACGATAATTTTTCATGTCCAACAAGACTAAACGTTCACTCACATTCTAGATTAATCGCTCCCTAGCAATTCAAACAGAGCCTCTGACGACGCCACTCTGACGACGCCATTCCAGGCCCGTAGACAGCTAAACTGGATTGGGGGTAGGGGGGCTGCGCCATTCAGACGACGCCATTCAGAAGACGCCACGACAAGATGGCGTCACTTATAATGTCTAATACCAATTGAAGAGGCTTGGGATCTAGAACACCAATCTAAAAAAGCATTTGGGGAACTGCATCCTATCTTTTTCAGCGTGTCAAACTGTGTATCTCTACCAACCTTCTTTCACAACATGAATCGTTTTTTTCACTAACAACCCTGAAATGCTCTACCTGGTGGATTGGTTGATGAGCTAGCAAGGACTCAAAATTATAAAAGACAACATGTATACATGTTTATATATGTTATATATAGCAGTATAGAATATCTATACTGACACACACCCCTTTCAAGTTGGGCACCCTATTCTAACAACAAACTGGATCCAAGATCTTCTATAGACACAATATTTTGTGAGAGGGCCCAATGTGATCTGGTTGAGGTTGGTATTACATTGTTTTTTCATAGTTTTGACAAGCTGTGACATATGAATACATGTCTATATGAATACATTTTTAAATAAACACCTCTTTTATGCAATTTTTTCATTTTCTTGCGAAAGAGTTTCTTTCTAATGTTTCTGAGAAGACACAAGTGATTAAACAAGTGACATTATGAGAATTTGAAGGCGTCAAACCAAACCAGTTTCTTAAATACAGCTCAGCTTTTGCCATCTACACTAGCGAGTTGACCGCGAATCCAACTGTAAATTTGCAAAATTTCCGGACATTGAAGGGGAATCTCGGACCATTTTTTTGATTGGATTGCAAACATTTCTACTAGGGAAAAACAGCAAATCTCCTACGTCGGAACGTCAGAAGCACTTAAAAGCTGGGGGCATAGGTAGAAAGGGGCACTACGTCTTGGACCATTTCTGAGACAGACATGTGCCACTTTGCACCCCAGTCCCGACATTCCTGTAGTCTGTATGTGCCATTTTATTTCTGCGATTATACAGAGGGGCTTGGATGCGTCACCTTTCAACAAAATGCCACAGAAGACAAGAAAGATGAAAGAAATATTTAATTTTCATATCATATGTCAATAAATTTCATTTTATTTGCATATTTTATGTTTCAATGCACAAAAGAGAAAAAGGCGTATGAAGTTTCCAAAAAAAGATTTCTTCATAAAAAGACGATTTTACAGATTTGAAAATAGATTTTTAAGACGTCTTTGCTAAGCCACTCTATTGTGACTATGACTCCCTCGAGCCATTGAGAAATTGGCTTAACACCTTTTCGACTACATATTCAAAATTATCCTTCAGACAACCAATAATGATGGTGATCCATTTGAAGGGTTAATATGCATAAATAAACTTCTAACCAGGAAACACAATAATGCAACGCGAGGAAAAGAATTTTGCTAAAAATAGAGATGAAATGACATCTAAGAAGGAAACCTTCTGGGGTTTGGAAAGCGAGTCACACAGTAAACTACCGCGCTGAAGGCCAAAAAAATGAGACTAAAATTTTCACTGTTTTACTGAGTAAAGTTTTCAGTGTCTAGAAAGATGAAATATCGAAAGACAGTTTTCTGGAGCTTTGGACTTTCGGATCGTATCTGTTTTGGCGTAGTTTGACACAATGAAACACCGACACAATGATACACCAAGGGAACCCGCATGTCATTAAGAGATATACTATAGACCGAAATAATCAGTTCTCTCGCAGTTGTACAACACGTAGACATCAATGAACAATAGAAAAGGAAGCAATATTCGCATCTTCGATCCCACTAATCGATATTTATAAACCCGCTATTTAATGGCGTAAATAGCTATTCACGGTTATTCAGATAATTTGTGAAGGCGAACCTCATAAATGACGTAACCGAAACTAAATGTCGCCGGTCTGTGGGTGTCATTGACATTACTTTCACATTATCTTAGATATTTTTAACAAAAATGTTACTTATATGATAAAATGACAGCTATGAACCAGCCACCGGACATTTTCTTGCATCGTTCGTTTGATAAAGTAGCTTGGGAGAGACCGATAACACGGGTATCCATTCCTACCAAAAACTTGAAAATGTTTGACCAACCCCACACCGATGAAATTTGAGTTCGTTGCAAATCCATGATATCGTAGGCAGTTTAAAACAGACCCAACAATTCACGGCGTCTTTCTGTCCAAAAAAACTTTTTATAAGAACACCAAATTTTCTGTTGAGCCTTAATGTTCTTAATCTTCTTTTATTTTGAGC